ACTACTTACTACGCCATACTAAATCATTCCCTAACTTCCGATTCACTCACCAGGCTGAACTATACAAGTAATCCATCATGTTATTTGAGATTACTGTTTACATGCCAAATCCAGGGGGCTACATATACTAACTAATATCTAAATGAAAGATTTTATGAAAGTAAGGTAGAGATGTGTCTCAGGGGATGATTAATTCTCAGTTACCATGTTTCCATTCAGGGCTTCCCGGTCCTCCAGGCCCTAAAGGAGAGAGAGGGTACCTGGGACCTCCAGGACCGAGAGGGGCTCCAGGAAGGGACGGGTCACCAGGGAGACCAGGAGATGAGGGTCCAAGGGGACAGCCAGGTAAACCACTGTACCTCATTACCACTGTACCTCATTACCAATGTACCTCATTACAACTGTACCACATTACCACTGTACCACATTACCACTGTACCTCATTAATACTGTACCACATTACCACTGTACCTCATTACCACTGTACCTCATTGACAAATGAGAGAGCACACAGTCACTGGCACTTAAAGATAATTTCTGCTTACATCTGCCATGGGAATAAAGGTTTGCCCTTTTGTTTGTAGTTCTGGTATGATTCCATGTGTTGAAAATAATGTTTTGTTTCTTTGCCTCTAGGGCCGAGAGGAGAACCAGGTATGTTCTCATGTTTCTTCTTAGAAGCAACTTAGTTTTACTTAGTTTGAATCTGAAGAACATGTGACCTCCTATCACAGGTCTGTGGCGTCCAGTCAGGTTCCTGGCATCATATTGTGGATGCAGTGTGATTTGAGCAAGGATTTTCATTTTAACCAATGAGATTTGTAATTCTACTTTGACTCATTTTTTATTTTATTGGAAAATAATGAAAGATGGTGTTTATTCATTCTTTAGGAAACAAATTCTGTGTCCATCTTCCAGTGACTTTTCCTGGTCAGGGTCACGGGGGGGCTTATCCCAAGCAGTAACGGTACACCCTGGACAGAATGCCAGCCCTTCACATAACACACACACCATCAGGCAATTTAGAGATGCCAGTCATGTCTTTGCACAGCGGAAGGAAACTGTCACGCCCAGCGGACTCCCACATGACACGGGGAGAACATGCCAACTACATATGGTATATATACACACGGAACAAGCAGTACTAGAAACCACAACAGTAGAGAAGAGAGGCAGCAGTGCTCAATATAATAAATCATTTAAATTGTGATTTTGTAGTAGTTCTAGTTTGTGCATATTTCAATCCATCCTTCTAATCATTTAATCAATGTCAGTATATACTAATTTGCCGTATCTTGTTCCCTAGAGATAAAAGAACACAATAATGTAAAGATGATACATTTAAGCTTAATCGCAGGTTTTCTTAGAAGGTGTTTAGTTAGAAGCAGTAGTAGCTATAGGTATTATAACTGGCCAGTCAAGTCTCATTAGACAGAAGCTGTTAAGGCCATAGGGGGAAAAAAAACTTGCATTTAAAGGCAATCAATAAGACCAGTGCTGGGAAAATTGTGACAGGCAAAACGTGTTGACGTGAAACCTGAGTAACTTTATGTGGGCAAGGGTCATTCCTGGGCAGGAAGTTGAGGAAGGACTGGGGAAATCAAGGCCATGAATACAGTCCACCGCCTTTGACCACGTGTTTACGGTCAATGTTTACTGTCAGTGGTGGGTTTATAGGTGCTCAGTGTGGAGTCGGAATCGGAGTCATATGCATTCCAGTTCTACCGGATTGGTTTTGGTTCTGGTAGTTAATATTATGTAACTCTTCTGATTGACCTATAAAATGATGAACTTTCTTTTTCATCCCCCACAGGTCTGGCTGGGGCTGATGCCCACGTACCGCAGTTGTCCTTCTCCGCCGCCTTAACATACCCCAAGGTTACTTCCGGAACGATCATCTTTGACAAGGTCTTTGTTAATAAGGGTGATTTCTATAACCCACAAACAGGTAAAAAGGACTAGTGTGTTTCTTTTCATATATTACATCATATTTTGATGATGATTACAATCATATTAATGCAATTTTCTTATGCTTTGCACATTGTCCTGCATCCATGCATTGACTCAAACTGTGATTTTCTTTTAGGAATCTTCACTGCTCCTCTGGACGGGCATTACTTCTTCAGCGCTATTCTGACTGGCCAAAAGAATGTGAAAATCGAAGCAGTCTTGTCCAAGTCTAACTATGGCGTAGCCCGTGCAGACTCTGCTGGTTACCAGCCAGAGGGTCTGGAGAACAAGCCAACGGCCGAGGTCAAACCCATCCCAGGGTCTCTGGTTGTGTTCAATGTCATCCTCCCCTTGCAGGTGGGAGACACGGTTTGCGTGGACCTTGTCATGGGCAAGCTAGCCCATTCTGTGGAACCGCTCACTATTTTCAGTGGAATGCTCCTGTATGAAGACATGTAGGAGACACTCAGCCAAGCGCCTGCAAGCCGCAGGGTCACAGTCTTGGGAGCGATGGACTAAATCCAAAATGACACTAGAAATACTTTTTGAGGTTTTTTTTGTTTCTTGTTTAACTTCACTGACAAACTTTCTGGACCACTAAAAGGCTTGGATATAGTAGAACCCGGAACAGACTTTACAATATTCTAACTGCCTTTTAATCGGAGAAATATTCTAACAGATGCTATTGCAGGGTCTCCTTCTCTTGCCATTATCGTTATTACTGTATTACATAAATTATGACTAATCTTCAGTGCACCAAAGCTGTCTTTGAAGCCTTGTCTTTGATTATGCATACCTCACTTAACGGTCTTTTAAAAGTTAACACCCATAACTGGTTGGTTATGGGCTTAAGCTCCCTTGTGGCAGAGGGGGAAGGCATGGAAAAAACGTAGCATTTTTTTCGATGCAGTCGTTATGGCAAAAACCAAAAAGAAAACCAATGAAATGGACACACCTTGCGCCAGAGGCCTTATGGTCAAGAGCTGCTTTTGCAAGTGAAAGAGGCCAATTTAATATATCTGTGATCGGTGACTGTAATGGTTTCCAGTTTTTCATTGTACTGAAGAGCCCCAGTCATAAAAAAAAAATGAAAACAAGAATGGATGTGTTATCATACTTTTGTAAAACCAAAACAAAAATTAACTAAAGAAAAAAGGAATTCTAAATAGGCATTGCGTTCCTAAAATATCAGAATGACATCATAAATTGAAAACTTCCTTAAAAGGTTTATCCAAAACCAGATGTCCAACAGGAAGCAGTTTAACTTGACTTCTCTAAAGATTAATGTGGGGACATAATGGGTTTCTAACTAATGTGTGTAACAGTACTTGTGAGTCTGACATGGTCTGTTTCGACATTGGTAGACCCACACTGATGTTTTTCCATTGTCTTTGTGAAAATTTGGTTTTGTCTGTACTTTACTCACATTTAACATCTGCAATCATATCTGCATATCATAGATAAATTGCCTGCTGGTAGAATCTAGCATTCCAATGTTGCCTATAGTCTCAGTGTCGGGGAGGACAACAGGCAAAGTCTAGAGGATCTTCTGGACTGTAAAAAGATTGCAAAGAAATATAAGAATCCTTTGTTCCATATTCAAGAGACTACAGAACACTTTCTGATTCTCAAGAAAAATCAGTATTGGTCATCTAGCCGATAGTTCACTGAGTGGTCCAGTTACTTTTGGCTGCACCCCAACAGATGATGTGACCAGTCATTTGTCATTGGTTTTGGTCTTACTTTCCTTAATAGCTTATACTATCTGCAATAAAAAGGAAGATATGCATACCATTCCTGTAGAGTATTACATACCAAGTAGCTGTACATAGTTATTTTTTTTATGGTTCATACAGTCTCACTGGTCTTCTAAAATGTGTATGTTGGTTGCTGTGTGGTTCAATAAAAGGTATTTAATTTTACACACCTGGGAAGACCAAATGTGTGTTTCATTTCCACCAGTCAAACAACCTCTGCAATAGTAACTGCTGGGTGTGAAAGCAACAATGGAATATTTTTTTTGAATATTACAATGGAACTTTGAAAGTAATGGCTAGGATATTTAATGGCTAGGATATCTAATGGCTAGGATATCTAATGGCTAGGATATTTAATGGCTAGGATATCTAATGGCTAGGATATCTTCACCTACTCAGAACTTGTGGGTTGTCATTCTCAGCCCAGGAATGGTGCTGCCTGTATCATCACAGTGACAGTGCTGCCAGTTGTGTTGTAGCCCATTTCCCTAGACCAGTGATTCCCAATCCAGTCTTCAGGGACCCACAGACAGTCCACATTTTTGCTTCCTCCCAGTTCCCTACCAGGGAGGTAGCAAAAAAGTGGACTGTCTGGCAGCAAGCTCGGAGGGAACGAATACATGGACTGACAGTGTGTCCCCAAGGAGCGGTTTGGGAAACACTGCACTAGACAATAACATTCTAAGTCTCAGGGTTATGAAAAAGAAACTGATTTTGATATAGATGCTGCCACAGATTCAGTGAAGCTGCACCATACGCACAAATGCTCCTTTTGTGAATATGATCAGACATCTGAAACCTTTGCAACCCTCCCCACCCCCTCCCAACCGAAGGCGAGCTCCCTCACAGGGTAAACACTGGCAGGGGTCTTAACTGTACTGTACAGCTGCAGCATTTTCCAAGATTTGTGCCAGGAATGACGTTTCGAGATTTTGGCTCTTGAATTAACGGAAAAAACAACATGTCTTGTGCCCACATCAGTAGGAATACAAGAGTATGTTTCCTGAATGGCCCAGCTTTGGCATAACCTCTTAAACAATTCTAGGTTCAGAATTCATGCATTAAATTCCAGTGCAAGAATAAATTATGTCAAGTAAAAAAAAAAAAATTAAGCTATAGTTACTGATCATTTTTGTAAGTGATATATACCATGCTTACACTACATGCTACTTGTATTTTAAAACTACCAGGTAGGAGGAGAGAGAAATCAACCTGTACAAGTAATGAATTTTAAACGTTATCCAAATCCTAGTTCTTTCGTAAAGTGGATAAATAAATATAACTATATTTATTTTGTTTAAAACACAAATATCAGGTTTATTGTACAATATCTTCAACATTAGCGTACTTCAACATTTCTGGCACAGTGAACTCTGCTTTCAACACAATGTTTACACATCTAAAGCCAGTTACACCAGTATCGGCTGTCACTTATGGTGAGGGCTGGGTTCTCGGGGATGGGTCAGGTCATGCACCCTTTTCGTCTTTTATCACGTCTAGTCAATATTGGCTGACATGTCGGTCTGGGCGAGGGGTCTTTGCTAAGAAGGCCAGCTGGGTCAGGCTAATGCAGGACTGGATCACGTCAGACATCCTGTTTATCATTACCTTCATGCACACACTGCCAAAAGAGTGTAATCAAGGCTTTTAGAAACCAAATGCAAATATTCCTGGAGCAGCTCGAATGCACACTGGAATAGCGGTCAGGGAGATGATTAGACCACTGGAAAAATTCTGGTGAGAGACGGCTGAACATTTGAGGAGGGAAAGTTTTGGATTTCTTCAAAGATAGTTTGCGCTTTCAGAACCAATGGCTTCCATTACCAATAACTGCAGAAAAATCTTCTTGAAATAACTTGCAACTTTAACATCTCCCTAAAATAATTTTATTATTTTTTTTAATCATAAAACTGACAAAATGCGTTTTCAAGTTTTGTTCTGAATGTGCATCAGGTTTTAGTAGCAAGCAGGTCAATATTAAACTGCAGAAAAATCCTACTTGGCCTGGTCCTTTTAAAGGATCACATATTTCTCCTAACAATGCACATCAATCAAATGGCTCATTTACTGCAAAAGACAGAATTCATTGATTGTAACAAAACTGCCTTAAATTATAACAGTAAACTAGCCGGTCCATTGGAAAAAATAAACAAAGATGCAAGGTTACTTGTGCCCACACAGCACACATGCGTGCATTTGCTCTGCTCTGCTCTTGTCATTTCTTTCCAACACAAGGCACTATCTTACAAGAATCCTTTCTTGTGAGGCTGATGAGAAATTGCCATGACCCATCCCATAGTCATCGGGGACCATTATTTTGATACAATACCATCATATCCATGGATTCCACACTTCCTGCCTGCAATCTGGCAACCAAATGATAGCGCCTCCTGTAGGGCTTTTCCTGTTATGACAGATTACAAAAGGGCAGAGAGACAAAAATAACTTAATTCCTAACTCAGAAAACATGTGTCTTCCATAAACATATTGAAACTATTGAATGAAGTCAGTAAATTAGCTTTTGGTTTCACTTTCCTGATCACCATGTACAACATACATTAAGTGACCTCATGGCTAGTCAATGGCAATCCACTGGTGGTCAATGACATGAAGGCCTTACTGACTTCTACTTGAAGGGCATCATTTTTGACAATTCAAAAGTTATTAAAATGAATGTGATACAACACACAAGACGAGACAGTAACAGCGAACAGGAGACATTACCCATTAGGAGAGACCACGGGATTCTCACCGTTTGAGAGCGAGTAGATAACGGACGCATTGAAGGTGTCTCCCGCCCCCAGCGTGTCCACGAGGGCTGGGGGAGGAAAGGCGTCGGAGTGGACCAGCGTTCCATCCGGACCCATGGCGTCAGCTCCCTTCTCTGCCCAGGCACAGATCAGCACAGCCCTACAAGAATGGGCAGTCTGTGGCTCAGCAGCCTAGGCCATCGGCCCCCTGAGCAGAGCCCAAAAGCCCCAAAAATGCTACTGGGGGATATGTGAAAAGAAGCATTTCTCTAAGTTTGTGTAAGAAGGCAACCCATTCAGAGAAGAGGTAAAGACAAACCCCAGGAGAATACCATACTAAAACGATTAATCAAGGAAAATGATATATAGCAAATTATCTATTATATTTATCTGCTAAGGTGAACATAGAAACACATTTTTGAATATAAATACCTATATCAGTAAGCTCCATGATTTCATAATAGTGACAGCAGTGACACCTGGTGGCAACAAGCCCTAAAATCATAAAAATTGTTTTTCTCTCATTCAACTAGTTAGTCCTAGTGATTGAAAGTATCCCTTTGAGACAATGGCTCTCACAGCACCTGCAAGTACGAACACTGCAACTCTCCAGATGACTGAGATCCAGCTGCTCACATTACAACCATACTATGGCCCACTCTTAAGACGATGATACAAAGGGCAACATTTTGAGCAATGCTGTTGGGCAATTGCCTTCCAGGTGCAAAACAAGACAACTCGTCTGGATCTGGATGATCGAGAAAAGTTGCCCACTTTCAATCAAAGTTTTCAGATAGAAATCTGTTGCCTGATATCAATGGGAAAGTGCCTGAGCAACATTGCCCGTCCACGTTGCACAAAAATCTGCCCTCTTTATCATCACCCTTAGATTCTGCACTTAGATAAACCTTACTGCTCCCCCAGGGGAATTCTTGTGCACAGAGCAGCAAGATACTTGGAGCACAGACAAACCAAATAGAATATTATGGAATATTAATGAAATAAATAAACAGTACATAAATGTGGATTGTTTAGAGAGACAGATGTGGCAGAACAGACTTACCCCTTCTTCACGCGCCCGTACAGTCCCCTCAGGGCATCTGCAGCACAGCAGAACCCCATGCAAGTGGCCACATCCTTACTCACAAAAACCTGTGGGTTTGATAATTCATTAATAAAGTGTAATAAATGTGCTTTCACTTGCACAATTAAAATACTATCAATACTATGTTCGTAATTCAAAAAGAATCACGTGTTTTTGCAAAAGTTGGTTTTATAGAAACTACACTATTTTGAGCTACACTATCTTTCAATCAGTGCTTGCAAACATATATTTTTACACTGAATTAATTCAACAACATGTGGTCATGAAAATAAGCAATTTAAAAGTTCTTACAATTCTTTTTTCCTTTCTCAAAAAAAATCCCTAGTTGCCACTTATCTTTATGGTTCAGTGATTAGAGATCAGGGTTTACACTAATTCATGATATAATTCATGCATTTATTCCCAGGAGATGCTACATTTAATAGCAATAGGGCAGGAAAATTTATTGCATTAAGGAGCTGCATTAATTTTAAAGCTATAACATGTTATTCCTTGGATCACATTAACGCATGCATATTTTGTTTATGATTGTGCATGTGTGCATGTGTGTGCCCTGCAATGGACTGGCATCCTGTCCATGGTGTACCCCAACACTGTGCCCTGTGCTGACTGGCATAGTTTCCAGGTACCCCTGCAACTATGATTAGAATATAGTTGGATGGATGGATGGATGGATGGATACTGTTAACTGACTTACATGTAACCATTTGCTTAACTGATATCAATATATAATTATACCTAGCAAAATTTTAGCTGTGTTGCAACACTAGTAGTATTCTAGTAGAAAATATAATACAATTGTACTTTATGTTATATATTTCAACGCTAAATGAATGGGGGATCATACCACATCTCCATAAGGAAAAAGCTGATACAGTTCCTCCCTTGTCTTCTCAATCTCCACCGAAATGGTGATTCTGCACGGTTCTGGAACAGTGCTGTTGTATTTTTCGACCTTCTGAATCATCTTCACCTGCTCCGATGCATTCCGGCCCTGTCCATTCACCAGGAAAGCAGCAAACACCAGCTGATACTGTAACTGGGCCATTCAGCCAAGCGCAACGCAACTTCCTGCTTCTACTCATGAGCCCAACTTTCAAACCAATAATTCACTACAATCTATTGTCTTTACTGGTCATCCACTGTGCTTTTAATGCAACCCTCTGAAGTCCCCTGGTAGCACCCTTACCACTCACCTCCCAGTGAATCCACTTGTACTCAACCAAGTTCACCTTAGCAAAATCCTCCACTGACGCATCTGGGAGGTTCCTGATTGGGTTGAATGATCAAACCATGTTTTCGTACTTTGGTAACAAAGAGAATGTATTCATTTACAAAATTCTTTTACAGTGCTGGCCAAAATTTCAGCATAAACACTAAGAATTCAGTTTATTTATGCATCATGTCTGAAACTGTAAAGGTTCAGCCAGAAACTTTACAGACATATTATAAGAAGGTTCGCACATGGTCTGCTTCCTCTTACCAGTCGTTTCTGGAAATACGACGAGAAGCTGCATGAAAGCATAAATTTGCTGTCTGATTCATATCACACAAATGGCCTGGCCGATTTCGAAGGTACATTTTCCATGAACCAATAATCATGAACCAGCCATTTAAATAACAACAAGGACTACTCCATCCAGTTCCCAAGCCATATCTATCCAGTCAAAAGACGAAGGCATAACCAGAACTTAAGGTCTATGCTAAACTTCTGGCCAGGTTTACATTAAGCACCTTACTGAGGATTGGTGAAAATTAAATACATTAGTGATTATGCAAAAGATCATTACATGATGCTTATGACATCAAACCATTAGACATTAGCGTTATCAACGGGTTTTAATAAATTATGACAAAGTTATTTGAACATGAAACCATAAACAATGCTGATATTCAAATACAGTGTTACTGTGATACCAGTTCAGTAGTTATTCTATATTTGTCTTCTAGTCTTGCAACTGTGTCCTCCGCTGATACCAGAGCTTAACATTTTGTCTATGCAGATACTCTCTGAGTCTATATGCTATGAAATAAGCTTCAAGCTTCAAACCTTTGCAGTTTCTGTAGCCATAAAGTCATGTTCTGACAAATAAGCTTCAAGCTTCAAACCTTTGCAGTTTCTGCAGCCATAAAGTCATGTTCTGACAAGGAACATGTGGTAGCATAACATGATACATGACAGTGGTCTCTGGCATTTAAACCCACTTTCAACCAGGATAAATACTTTGGTTTACCACTATGGTCTGCCGGTACATAGTAACTATTCTTTCCTATCAAGGGCAAATAATATAATGTTGCATGTGAAATGGATGGTAAATGTTAGGATTATTATTAGGAAAAACGTTGCAAGCAAAATCTGCCATGTTTGTCCCTACATGTCAAAGTTGCATTGTATCTGCATTCCTAAAGCTTCTTGGTCAAATATTCATATAATAATATTCAACAATAATACTGTATTTATTTGTCAACTTTTTAAATGTTTGAACAAATGCAGATTTATTTCAAAAGTATTTTAAAAAGTTGTACTACTTAAACCAAACGTATTACATAACTGTCACACTATATAGTCATATAATCAATGCTATAAAGATAATTACTGATTAAAGCCAACAAATTTCATGCTTATATTCATTTTTGGGAAACGGAATAATAATGGATCTAAAGGACAAAATTAAACATGGAGAGACTAAAGCAACTTTTCAATTATTCATGATAGTTGTGTAATTAAAGGCAAAAAAAAATCATTTTAATTAATGGAGTGTCACTGCAGAGACCACAAACATGCAGCTACCTAAAAAGCAGTGAAAGCCAAATGAAGCTTCCGGAACCATTTTCTGTATTTTTGACCCCACTAGTGCTCTTGCTTTGCTTTGGGGCATGAATTGAGCCTTTTTTGAATAGAGTGCATCATTCAGTGGTGTCAGAAAATACAGCAATTGGTTCATGAAGATTCATTTGACTGTCACTACTAAAATGAAATTTGCATGTTTTAAACATAAGGACACACATTTCCTACAGTAGCATCCCACACAGACTTTCGGGCCGTGTTTATATAGTGGCCAATTTCATGGAACACTTTTATATACACAGGAATGAGTCAATTCAGGCCCCGCCCCCTTAGTGTGATGACTGTTTGTGGCCAACAGGGGGCCACAAGCAAAAGAGTGGTTTAAGTGGTTCAAAATGCCTTTATATCCAAACCTCGCCGCTAACTGAGAAAACTGTTGGTTCAGTACAGACACATAGAGCAATATGCCGATACTTTGCAGATCTGAGGCCTGTCTCTGCAGGGACAGAGGCACCATCACCAACTGCTGAAGCCAAAATAACACGGGGCCCACATGAGCATCTTACGTGTCGGCGAGAACGACAGTGCGGGAGCCGCTGGAGGGACACACCACGCAGCACGCGCACGGGGTCTCCCCCCCCTGCTGCCACACCACGTGCGACACGTCCACCCCTCGGCGGGAAAAATCCCCCACGATGAAACTGCCACATGAGCAGAAACAGACAGAACAAAACCCATCTGTGTCACTGTCAAACATAATCCAGATGTTCTCGCACCTTCAGGGAGAGGGGAAACGGAGGAATATCTGTAAGAGGTTCTGCTTGTTGCCTGTAAAGAAAGAGGCCTGGAAAGGGAGAAAACTTTACAGTCAGAAACAGATGCGAGCACAGTGGATGGAGTGAACAGGTCCCCTTGACAAACCATATTTCGGGAAAATGAAAAAAGGAAGTGAGGCAGAAGTACTGGAAGCTTCAGCACCCCCTCTGGTTGTTGATGGTAATGCAGGGTCTGAGTACTTTCCACTCACGTGTCATAAGGTAATTATCCCAGGGCACACCACTGACTAAAACAAACTACTAACTAACTCTCACCAATAAAGCGAATCATGTTGCTGGTTCAGGATCAAGTACGTTTTCTGGAATTTTCCTTTTCAAAAATTTGCGCATGATCTTGTTTTCTTACTACAGGGAAGTTTACAATTTGTCGAACATACCGGTATGTACATGAATGGGTGCTAATTGTAGGGTGGTCTTATTCTGAGCTGCATTTAATTACGTGACAAGTGCACTTAAAACCTATTGGAAAATTAAATTAATTAAAAAGTCACTCACATAAAGCTTTTTCTTCTAAGCCACTTAAAATACATTTATAATTGAACTATTAATACACAAGCTTATTTAGTTTAGTTTCTATATGTGTATGTATGTATGTGTAAGTGTGTGTGTGCGCGCGTGTGTGTTTTGTGTGCGTGTGTGTGTGCGCGTTTGTGTATGCGTGCGTGTTTGTGTGTGTGTGTATACAGCACACCTAGCCAATTCTATTGGCACACTAGTGTTCCGTGACACACTGGGTGAAAGACTAGGGCCGTGTGTTCATGCCTTTTCGTCAAAGAAAAACAGCGTCACGTTAATTATCTCGCAATGGCTCAGAGGCGGCAATATTGATTACTTCTACAAAAAGATGACCTTTGCTAGCTGTTGAAACTGAACTCGCAATAAGCTTCCCCTCAAACGTATTTTTAAAAAGTTGTCGTCAGTTTCAACCTTGGATTACTACTACAAAAGCATAAAGTTACGGTTTGACCATAATGCAAACATTCAAAACGCGATCTGATTGTAATATTACAACTGATAAAATCAAGGATTGTGTGGACAAACATATAATGAACGCAGGCCCCTTATAAATATTGTCCACCATGAAATTCATATGCTTATGCCAATGACAAGATTCATCACTATAACCTTGATTTAGCTAACAATTTGATTCCACCCACAAAACTTTTTAGTAAATTGCAGAGAGCACTGTCATGCATGCATGCGATGCATGCAGCTACCTGGATGCATAAGCCTAATAAACTTGGTACAACTGGTATAACTGTCTAAGTTTAACGGAGATGGAGTTACCAACGACTGACTGACAAAACCAGGCATACATGCACACACACACAAACCTGTTCATATGCAGAATGGTACGACTGCCTGTCCTCACATTGACGATGACTACAGAAGCTGGGAAGGAGCATTCTGCGTGCTCCACCAGCAACGAGATGTCAATGTTGTACCTGAGGAAGTCTGCAAGGACGAAGCTGGAGCAGACGAGTCACCAACCGACAGGGACAGAATGAGAACCAGGCTGAAATCCCTTAAGCTTTAATGGTTATACAAGCTAAACGCACAGCTACCACTAACATACCTGTATAATAATTCATAGCAGACACCTGAAAGGCGAGCACTGCAAAGGCATCCCCACCGACGCATTTAATTTGCCGACACTGCGTTTTACTGTGCCAGATTCACCATGTGTAGATCCTGAGCCCAGACCGACTTCATTCAGCTAGTGGTTATAAACAACAGCAGAGAACAGTGCCAAAAGAAATTTTGCACCAAAGGCAAACTGTGTTTTATGTACAACAGGCCAATATGCAAGTAATGTAGCTGTATCGTAAACATTAAACAGTTTCCTTTAGGAGTCTGCAGTAGAACAAAGGCTTCATCTTTGTGGGCGTGGCCTGTCAGTGCACAAAAGTGTGACAGCAGATCTAGATGGCAAAAAATAATAACAAGTCTAGCATATGCAGTGTATCCCCCAGGGCCCCCCAGACGTCCACGTTTTTGCTCCCTGCCAGACAGTGCACATTTTTGCTGTGGTAGGGAGCTGGGAGGGAGCAAAAGCACTGACTGTCTGCAGGTCCCCGAGGACTGGCTTGGGACACACGGAATATGCTAGACTTGTTATTATATTTATAAGGACCAGATTAGGAAGAGCTGGTCCAGCATTTGAACAAAGTCATTTTAATTCAGAAAGAGGAATAAAGGATACGGGAAGAACATATTTAACTAATTTTACAGATCAGAATAAGATACAAACCATATGACAGTGAGGAGAACAGCCACCCTCGATACTCAACTTCATAGCTCAAAAGAATAAGGGTATGACACAACAAAGCTTTGCTGTTTATGATTATGCTAACAGGGACAACTTACTCTGCCACGGGGCCAGGTGAGAGGGACCCTAGGAATGCACATGGCGCCCCAAGGAGGGAAAGTACTGTACAGGAGTTTGAAGCATTACCTCCTCGCTGCCAGCGCTGTGACAAACACCTAAGCAAACACAAGGTGCACCAAGAATTTAGATTAGGATCACAACACTTGGGCAGTGGCTGTTCACTACAGAAGAGCAAGATATGCCCCCTGTCCCAAGGATGCAGTGAAGCAGAATTACAACTGAGGTAAACATAGCTCTATTACTCTTACTTTCTGTGTAAAACAAGACATTTTTCTATACACGATTTAACGTCTTCCCTCGTTATTAAATATGTTCTCACTTGGACAGAATTGATCCAGGTACATTGAAGTCATAATCGCCATACGTTTGACAAGCCCCAGAGCAAATCATGAACGAGCCCTCTTGCACACTGCAGTAAAAAGGCGTGTAGTACGGACATGAAGGTTAAACCTTTATCCGCATTGGCAGCTGTAGTATAGTAAGTGGTGTAAATAAGACAATTCACGTGAACGAGTGTCCCACGAACCTGGTGTCAGTATCCTCTTCCGGATATTTGTCCACAACATTAATGATATCTAGACATACCAATCCAATGCACAAAATCTTTTTATCCCCCATGCTGTCTTCACGTAATTTAACTTGTAATTTGGACTTTGAATTGCGACCTGCCCTTGCGTGTTTTGTCTTTCCACTCAACGTCAGTAAAGGGCGATATGTAAATTCTCATGTGATCCCATAGGGTTTAAAAAAACCTTCAATACCATAATTCGTGTTGTATAACAAACATAATTATTTTACAGGTGTTTCTTTATATTTTATATAATGCATGAGATCTGCTGACAATGTTAAGATAAGGAATAACAAATCTGAATTCCCGTAACATCACAGCTCTTTCACATGCTAATAAAAATCGGAAACTTGTCCATCACGTGACCAACGCTTGAAAGTATGGAATAACGTTAGGGACAAACTGTATGTAATTGTACACGGAACGGCGAAAACGAAAATACTTTGTAGCATGTTGAAACCAAATAGTGTAATAATATGTATTAATGATCAATCATATAACCACGATGAATCCATTTTAACAGTGTTGCAATAGGTCAAGTCATTCAAATCTAATAAACACAAAACTTTATTTACAAAAGTAAATAGATAAATAAGTTAAGGTGGATTATTTACTGAATTTGGTCACAAAACACCCTCCATAGTTTTAGCCAGTGCTTGAAGTGGGGAAAAAAAACTCCTGTTATTCGGCACCAGGCGCCGGTCTCCTCGTGTTATTCGGTACCAGGCGCCGGTCTACCTTGATATTCATTACTAGGTGCTAGTACTCCGCTTATTAATTCAGTGCCAAAAGATATTCTGAGGTGCCGGTACTCTAAAAAGAAAAACAAAAAGTGTACCGGCTCACTTCCAGTTTTAGCTAATAAATGTCAGTCACTGGTCAAAACAATATCATCTTAGGCTTCTCCATTTCAAAGAATTTAAAGGTGGTACCAAAAACTGCTTTGGTTATCTAAAGAATAAAATAAAATAATGTGTAGTTGTATGATGTATGGGTTTTGACAGGCAATTATATGGTGATCGAAAGGAATAAAATAATCAAATAAATTATTAAACCTTAAAATAAACACTTTTTGTTTAATTTCCAGACATCAGATTCACTGGCAGGTTGTTGATCACAGAGTAATCGTGGAACCTGAAATGTGAAACTGGTTTCCAGAGCATCTCTAGATTCTCTACCACAGGCACCAGGTCCTTCATGAGCTGAAATGACCTGTGGTGTGTATATAAACAGTGTCTCCTATGTGTTTCTACTTCCTGCTACCCAGCTCTGAATGCTCTGAATTACACTGATTGCCTTCAATAATCACTTCCTTCATAGGAATTCTTAGGAATTTCTGAATAATGTGCATTTTTTTTGTGCAAAATACTGATGCAAAATTATTGAGCTTTTATGTATAATGTATTAGCATGATTTTTCCAGTGGAACATAAAATCATATTCACTATATTTTAATCTCATTTTACACACATTCAATTTGGTACACAATGTTAAATGCATCATTTCACTTAAATTTGCCTCTTACTTTCCTTTTTGATCCGGTTATAAAGCCTAGAGTTTTGTTCTTCATTCAGATTAATGCCTCTTTCAGTTCCACATGAGATTCTGACCCGTCTGGCCAGTGAAGCATGGCATTTCCCACAGTCCAATCATGAAAAAACCAAGTAGAACCATGATTCATTATAGGCCTTTATCACTAGAGCACCATTTGTTTTTAAGATTAATTGTGCATCAGTTGTGCTTTGTTTAAATGGAAAATTGGAATCAATATGTGTTTCGTCTGAATGCTGTGTTTCAAAGCTGGATAATCGATTTGGTGCCGGCTTAGTGTGACTAAATATGAAGACAATGATAGAAGAATTTGGTAGAAATTTTTAATTCCACATTTTCCTAATTTCCACATAACAGTTACAGCATAACGTAAACAAATAGGTTTGTTTCAATCATGGTGCCTGATAAGGCATTTCTACTTATTTAAATTTGTACAGCAAACTTGATGTCTAGGTTGATTTAAGTGTTTGTTTTACTTTTGCCTTCATCGAGTTTTCCTGTCCCTGGATTTTTCACATTTAGAGTAAAGACAGTTATTGAACCACATCAAGGCAGATGAAGTCAGATGGAAATCTTATGTACATCATAAAAGTCAAGTGGGAATTTTATGCGCAGCATGAATATAATCACAATGCACTTAGAAACAACATTGCAGTAGTAACATTTAGCAGTGTAATGTGTCTATCCATTTTCCATAATCTCAATTTTAATACAGAATGAACCCGAAATCTACGCAAAGAAGCACAAGACACAAGTGCACTAGATGGGGTGCACAGTAGATAAGACTGTAGGCTGTTGCAAGAAGCACACGTGCACTCAGGTGATATAGAGATGCCTATTCAGCTCACTGCATGCTTTTGGATGCATGCAAATCCATACACAAAGAGCTGGTACTGAAATGGAATCCATAGCCCTGAAGTTTTGAGCTGCTGAAACAGGTTGCCCCATAAAATGAATGCTTTGCTGTTATTATTTTCCTTATTACATGTTTGGAACACATGGTAGGACTAAAACAGGATAGTATCATAGCCTAACAGCAAGCAATGGATTTGTTCTGCATTACCACAATGACTTAGCCGGCTCCCCAGGGATCCCGAAGACTTTGCAATAGATGAGCTCATGTGACTAAGCTGTGGGGGTCACTCTGGGTTCACAGCACTTGATTTAGTTATATTACTGTCTGTCCTGTGCAATGTCAATATGTCACGCTAGTCCCACATTCCTGATCATGAAGAACAGCTCGAAATTCAAAATGTCTTCTGGTCCAGAAGAAGAATCAGATGGAAAATTTTTCTGGCCAAGAAATCTTATTGGACAAGAACCGTTCTATGAGTGCTGCTATAACCGCACTGGGACATTTCACATCAGATATATACTGCTCTGTTTTACAGGTGTATCTAAAAACAGGCCTGCAGCCTCGTGCCTATGACCAAATCGCAGCCGTGATATATACTGGAGTACAACCACAGTCCTTCTCGTATGTCACTGCTTAAATATTAGAGATATTACGGTATGAGAGGCTGGCTGAAACACAAGGAAACCAGAAGACAACAGATGACACTCATTGGCCACTGTAATAGTATATAAAGCTAGTACTACATAGGACCCTTTTCTGCCCCAGAGTCACTTTAGTGGTAAATGATTGGTGCATTCATAGAATGCTTTCTGCACACACTAAACACCCCAGTGCCTGAAAATGCCAGGATGCTGCCTATTTCTGAGATGGGGGAACCCCAGTGCCTGAAAATGCCAGGATGCTGCCTATTTCTGAGATGGGGGAACCCCAGTGCCTGAAAATGCCAGGATGCTGCCTATTTCTGAGATGGGGGAACCCCAATGCCTGAAAATGCCAGGATGCTGCCTATTTCTGAGATGGGGGAACCCCAATGCCTGAAAATGCCAGGATGCTGCCTATTTCTGAGATGGGGGA